TCCCGACTGGGAGAGTTTCACGAAGGATTTGACTAACAACACAGGGCAGGATCCCACCCACAAGATACACAAGCCAACTATAAACACTTTAAGAGATTGGTCACATCCACAGTCAAAAACCACACTCCTCGCGGATATCGTGGAAACTACGTTTCTGGTCGGTCTTCTCAGTACGAGAAACTGGCCGTCCAATAATTTAAAAACACCGGGGATCTGGACAACTGATGTTCTAACTAGACATCATCCGTAGAGAAACATATGGTACCAACATTTGGAAAACATGAATTTCATCCGGAATACCATCCGAGAAAACCTTCCCAACAAAATTGATGATCTGAAATGCCTAAAACGTTAACTAACACATCACGCTCAGGAATTGAATAATAAGACAATTAAAACAAATTAACCGCGCAAGGCGGCCGGCCTCGAACTAGATCTATCCCTAATTTATTATATACTGTGCGATAAAAGCATAGCAATTGCTGTATGGCTGGCAAAATACTAGTCTACCAACATACTATTAACTACCCTCCATATATAAAAAGTCAAGAGCGTTAATATACTCCCCTTGGCCACTAATTATTAATTGGTTGTTTTTGAACACGGCTACTCGTGGTTGTTGATGGACATTAATCCTAACATATTTAAATACACATTTAACAAAAGTATTTAGTTGCATTTTTAAAAATTCCTTTTATATTGTCACGTATTTAAACACTTTCTCGCACTATTACTACTTTTATTTAACTATTTCCTGTATAATTAATATTTTTGTTATTAATTGCATAACAATTCACCACTATAGGAACACTTTTACTTTTTCGCTCTTTCTTCTTTGTATCACTATGGAACTTGAACTCGTACTAACTCCACTCGATCTCGCACAAATATTTATAGAGGCCGGCCGTTTTCTAGAATGATCCAGTATATGCCGTCTAGAAACCTGGTCTGGTCTTCTCTGCCAGTATGTATGTTGCGTTGCTTACATATATGTGACAATATTTTACCCAAGTATATACATACATCCAATGATGAGACCAATCTTCTTTGTTTAGAAACTGTTCACATCTTACCGTTTTTGTTTATTTAACTTTTAAAATGCTGTCGTAGAACATTCATCCAACAACAAAAGTCGATAGGCATATAGTTCGTCTGAGTCAATTTTGACATGAATTCCGAGAGTTTCTGAAATTAAGTAACAAAATCCAGCCGAGCAAAAGCTCTCACGTTTTAAATCCAATTTTTTTTTTATATTACATGCAGGTTAGGTTTTTCCGGGAAGTTCCTGAAAATTCTACGACCTAGAACATATCTTTGTATTCCCAGCAACCGCAGTGGGTATGACAACCTTACATGTGTACAGCCCATTTCAATTGGTTTGAATTGTGACCTTGAAGAAATCTGCCTGAAGATAGAAAGAATACACACTAGGCGTGAGCAAGACAGAAATAGTTTGAACAAGCTTGAACGAGCAGAGCTCTAGATGGGCGGTCTTAGGAGATCGGCTAGAACTGTACAGTCCTAGACGAAAATGTTTAGCAAATTCTTAAAACAAAAATGTATATAAATTAACAATAGAAAACAAAGAAAAAGTGTTATAGGTGTGTAGAACGTTAAGTTAATTCACTTGTTATTATTTTTGGCTAAATATGCTTTTAAATAAATCATATTCTTAAATTTTAACGAGGCAGTTTAAATAATTTTGCAAATGGTACTGTACACTTTTGCCTAGCTCTTGCTCGATGATCGGTGAAGAAATGAGCTACGCAGACAATTATGATTGAATTTGGAATTATGCTACGCCGCATCCTAATAAAGGGAAGGGGCATATCTCCAACTTCTTGAAACGAACAGTAGAGCCATTCCATCGGGTATTTAAAAGCTGACTTAAAGCCATCTGAATATCATACACTTTTTATGCGAAGGGGATTTTCAAAAAATTTTTTTATGTGTAATTTTTAGGAACGAATTTATCGAGTACGAAGAAGTTTAGGATTATATTTATTCATAAAATATATGTAAGTATACCTAATACACACATATGAAAAGTGGATGTTGCGATTTGATAAATATTAAAGTAGTAGTAAATTGCTTTATTCTGCAGTACTTCGACACACTAAATATTCGAGAAAATGTTAACCTAAATGCGAGATTACATATCACATGACAATTAGATAGTGAGTGGTAATATTTTGGCGCATTTCTAAATGAGTATTTAATGCGACCCGCTAACGTACCTGTAACTCTAATCCTCAGAAAGGATTACTTTTATCTGATATGTTTGACGCTTCTTTAAGTAAAACGGATATATATACTATGATACGTACAGCGTGGGATTTATTAGAATGTGAATTATTTTATTATTTCTGATATTAACGCGAAACAGACTACCGGGCACTAAAATACCTAAAGTACACAAAAGTAACATCTATTGAAAGGATTTCATTTTATTGTGCGATGGTGGGGGTATTTAGACGGGAGTGGAAAACAGTCAAAATTTATTTTTTGTTTCTTGTTATGCCTTGTTCTTAATAAATACTAATGGTTTGACATTATTAGGGATTTGTGCTAAACGGTTCGATCTTTTTTTTTTTTTGGAGACATGACCCACAAGAATGTATTATCCCAGTAATTCTTTTACAGTGTGTAACAGAAATAGAAATAAATGCTGAACTTGCAGGAGGTGATAGAGCACTACAAAACGTGAAAATAAAGTAAATGTTTGTATCTCCGAATGTTCATCGTTTTCAAGAAAAACGTAGTTGAAAGTACCTACAGGTAAATTCAATTCCGGCCCTGGCAAAGAAATACGCCCCGCTACGCTGCGCTCAATCAGCTGGTAATTACCATCCTCACTGTAGTATTGTTTTATATTTTTTTGTTCATATATTGTTAACCGCCAACCTCTCATGTGACAGTGTGGCAACTTTTAAAGGAACAGTTGCTGCATCCTTATCAAGTGCGTGCCTCGCTTGAAACTGATTTTCAGCCGCGAGTGGATTTGTGTCGATAGTTTCGAAAGAAAAATACTGCATAGACTATTTTTTTAGAGGGTTATTTACATACAACTTTGCTTCAAGAGGGACGAAATTTTGAATTTTCACAATAATCAGCGATTTCAAGAACTGTTTTACAATTATCCAAGTGGTTAGATAATTGACAATGTTCGCATTCTCCATCCATGTAGCTGCAAGAGTTGTAATTAATTTACATCCCCCAAAGCTCGGCACTTATTTCTATTACACCCTGTATACTGAAAGAGATGGTCTGGGTTTAATACAAATAAAAAAAGTATGGTAAAGTACATGCCTCAAGTATCACTCATATATAATAGAAATTTTTATTGACTTTGACAATCGGGCGATAATGCCAATTTATTTACAAAATTACCTTATCGTTCTCACATACTCACATAATGTAGTGAGTCCCTGTGCAATAAGGTACCGTCTTGATCCACTGTACTTATGTGCAAGACTTATGATGTTATATTGAAATGTATGTATGTATTATATACACAAAATATGTACATACATTGTACATTCCTCTTTATTGTAAACTTCAGTTGTTGATGGGTGCCAATTGAAATGCATCGTTTTAACCATTAAATTGATTTTGTTGAGTAACAGCAGTTAACAAAGGTTTCTAATTTTCCTTATTTTTGCATGCATGCGTGAGTTTATGGAGAACAAATTTTAACCAGGATGAAGTCGTACAGGGCATTTCAAATAATTCGGTCAACACAAGATCACAAAAAAGAGTGCGGAAGTGTGTTAATATTTTATCGTAAAGTAAGTAAGTAGTTACATTGTAATCCCTATTCTTCCCCTGTTTTTTTTTGTGAAATCAAGCCAAAAGGGGTTAAAAGTTACTTATTTTTTAACTAGCTAAACTTAGATTATATAACTGTTACAAATAGTTAAGGATATGGGATGATGCAGCTTTAGGAATATGCGAAAATTAGCTCAGAATAAGAAAAAGTAGAGGTGTGTGTCCAACTAAGTCTTAGGACTAACGAGCTTATGATGATGAACTCAGTCGTTGGTTTGTCAATTAACATGTAGGTACCTTCACAAAAAAGGGATTCCATCTACTTTGCTTAGCGATTGTTTTTTAGAAAATAAATACACACTGAGTAAGCATTAGTTAGGAATCGATTTAAGAAAGGGGGCAGTCGGGCAAATGTCCAGAGCGGCAAAAATGAGGGGTGGCAAAATTGAGGGCGTCGGGCGATGCATGAAGAGAAAACTTATAAAAACTACAACGCTTAGCAACTCAAAAAAAAGTATTTTTTGTTTTTAAATTACTATTTCAGCTAGAGGCTGTAAATTCTTAGACGAACCTATAGATTTTAAAGTGCTGTCTTATAATTTTTTTTAATGTCGTCTCAATAAGTAGCCCAGGAGGAAGAAAAATAGGAAAGAAGGACACACTTTGGTAAATGTCTAGATGATGGCCCTCACCCCCGAAGAGGGTGGGGATGGGTGGGATCGAAAGAGGAGGTCTCCCCAACCACTGTACCATAAAAAGTTCGTGGCGGTCTCACCCGCATAAAAAGTTATGGGGATTGAAATTTGATTATTTTGACAATTTTCATACACTATAATTCAAATAAAACTCAATAAAAAAAATATTTTCAAGAGGGTGGAGGTGGGGGATCGAAAGAGGGTGATCAGTTGAACAAAATCCGATAACCTAACCTAACCTAACCTACCCTATTGATAAAGATAGTTAAATAATGGTTTACATAACTTTCTCAATAGTTTTAGTTTTACCTTTGAATATTGTTTAAGAATGACTATATAAATATTTACATGCCTAGAAATGTATAAAAATTGGCATATTTATTAACTTTGAACCACCATAACTTTTTATGGGGCTGAGACCGCCACGAAATGTTTATAGTACAGTGGTGGGGGAGATCTCCTCTTTTGATCCTCCTTCGGGGGTGGGGGCCATCATCTAGACCTTTACCCCTACTTTTTTGAGCACTTTAATTTTTAAAGGGTTCATGATGTTATGCACATTAAATTCTGATTTGTCTTTAAGTGTGTGATGAAAATGAACACGTTAATATTGGATTTGGACTTTAGGAACTTCTGCTCTGTACAACTCCCTCCTATCCCGAAAGTCCAGTTTAGAAAAACACAAACACTTAACATTGGACGGGTTATTTTGAAATGCCATGTACTTGTATATACATAATTCTTACATAAATGAGCGTTGAGTTTATAAAATTGAACAGTTAACGAGAATGGCTACTATAAATATTTGTTATACGGTCTAATTTTATTTCCATAAACTATACACTAGGAAAATAAAGTCCGAATAAAAGCATGCACGTACGTATACTACTCAGTGGCTACTTGTAAATAAGTTTTGTTACGAAATTCGAAATTCTTCGTTTTTAGTCGGCAGGATTTGCATTTCCTGTGTGTGCGTGTAGGCAGTGGTTTTGTGAAGTCCAACCCGTGGACACTTATCACGATAAAACAACACCCGAATTTAATTCAGTTTAGTGTTTGAGTTTGTCTTAGCAATGACAAGCAGAACAAGGCGCGGTATGAATTTATTCCTGGCAACTTTAACGACATTTGTATTCATTTTCGTTTTCGGCATTTCGGGAGTTCAGATTTCGTGTCCAAATTTCGAAACTAAAAACTTTACTGATGGCGTGTTTTATCAGAAGATAACGGACGGTAAAACTTTCGAAAACGATTCGATACTTTTCAACAACGTTTTGTATGAGAAAAACAATTATTTCCGAAGGGATGGAGAAATATGGGGGTGCATTTGTAACGTGAAACAGTGCGTAAGGAAATGTTGTAGTGAAAAGGAGTATTTTACTAATAATTGTACAGAATTTGACGACGACGAAATTTACAGTTACGATAACGTAAAAAATGTTACTAGCGAAAACGAACGCGAGTTTCATACAATTTATGGAAAACCTGCATGTCCAAGCGTCCTGTTTTCTGCCGATGAAGATAACTTCTATTTACAAGAAGACGGAAGCCTTTTTCTGTCTGAGACTGACATTTTCAACATGGACAGCTACTGTATTAACGTGTTTTCTACCGAAAATCCGGGATATAATGAGTTACTCGCAGCAGTATGTACGGAAGACGAAGAAGATGATCTGAGACTGTTTTCCGCAGGTAACTACATATCTAATTTTAAGTGCGCACTTCGTAATTCATCGTCAGTTAAAACAAAAAGAAAAAAAAAAATAGACCAAAGCAATATCGCAGTAAAAGGTGTATAAACATGGTGATAATTTGACTTTTGATGATTTTTGTCATATCGTTTGATGCAAGGGGTATTTGCTGTAGTATAACTATAACAGTGGAATATCTTGAACGATTATATCAACAAGAATATATAAGAATAATATGTACGTAAATATTAAATATAACGAGAAGGGGTGTAGATAAACATGACATCAAAAATATCAGTCAGAAGAATGACAAAGTCTGTTGTTTTAAAACAGAGGTGGCCAGTCCAAATGATTTTGTGGGCCACTTTGGAATTAGATTTAAACCCTCGATAGACATTTTTTTAATCTCATAATAATTATAAACTCATTCAGACCCCCAATAGATTAATAGGTATTATTAGCTTACTCGAATTCGCCTGTGTTTAAGTTTCGTCCGTAAATTTGTCATACTGTTTAGTTCAAGAGTATTTGCTTTTTATAATCTTTAGAGCATCAAGTCTCTCTTCTTTCATGGTGAAGCTGTCCGAAATTTCAACTATTTTCTTTCGTTAGAAGCCACCGAATAACTTGCCGTAAATATTAGCTGACAAAGACTAAAAGTTGCCTCAATAGCTATTTAATATTTAGCATATTTAGCAGCTACCTTTATGATATCTTGCATAGAAGAGCAATCGGGTTTCTGAACTGCGTAAGGAGCGTTAATGAATCAGTCCTGTTGATATACCAGAATTCATTTTTCAATAATTTCACTTGTAAGATTCTTTTTGTCTAAACATTTGTGACAATATTTGATATTGGATTCAAACGTTCTATAACCATTTTAAGTTGATCTTTTAAAAGGTTTGTAACTGTATTTAAAGCTAGCTGTATTGGATCTGCAGATATCAATTATTGACGGAAATCTTAGTTTTCGGTGAGCTTTCGAAATCCTGTTCTTTATTAATTGTTACTTTTTCCAGCAAGGATTTTGGTACTTTCAATTAAGTTTCGAATTTCATCTTTCTTTTGCCTTATTAAATTTAAGGGTTCTCTGGTTCCGTTAAGAATGTATACGAGGTCTGTTCAAAAACTATTGTGAATTCTGTGTTTTTTCACAAATTATTCATTTATTCATGAATATCTATTTTGCCCCCTTCAAAGTAACCTTCACCACATATTATACACTTGTGCCAACGTTTTTCCCAATCCTCGAAGCACTTCAAAAAATCATTTTTTGTGTTCTTGTTCAGATCCTCCTTCGATGCCATCTTTATTTTCTCAATCGTAACGTAGCGTCGTCCTTTCCTGGACCTCTTCAGTTTCCGAAACAAGAAAACGTCACAGGGGGCCAGATCTGGGGAATACGGTGTGTTGTTTTTGGCCAAAAATTCGCGCGCAAGCAACGATGTGTGATCAGGGGCATTATCATTATTAAATTATGAAGCCAATTTTTGTTCTTCCACAAATCCGGACGTTTCTGGCGAATTGCTTCGCGAAAATATTATTTATTGACCGTTCTACCCTATGACAAGAACTCCTGATGCACCACGCCCTTGCAATCGAAGAAAACCGTAAGCAAAATCTTCACATTCGACCTAACTTGGGGTGCTTTTTTCCGTCTTGGCTCGTGTGGCAGCTTCCATTGGGATTATTGAGCTTTGGTTTCCGCGTCGCGGACAGAATCCAACAGCTCCTTAACAATGTTATTACAATGCTGTTTTTGGTCGAAATTGAGTAATTTTGGTACGAATTTCGCGGCGACCCGTTTCATGCCAAAATCATTGGTACTTTTCTAGCGGTGATTCGACGATTGACCAATACGATTTTCTTCACTTCATTAATGTTTTCGTTTGTTGTTGATGTGCTTTAAAATTGACATAGTCCGCAATAAAACTGAGAGTATAATGAGCTTTTTTCTCTCTACCGACGATTTTACCAGCGCGCATCCAAGACATTGGAAGGGGCACATGCTAGAGAAAGTAAATGAAGTATACCTAAGCAACCTGTAACCGCTGCACCGCTTACTATTATTCTACTACTCATGAAGCATTTCCTAACTTAGCAAGGGCGCTCCCAAAACGCAGAGAATGACTACAATCCCAAGTAGGGTTGGCACCTTTTCGGGCTTTACATAAAGTATTTCTCGACTAAAAGGTTAAAAAAAAGTACTCAGCATAATAATAAAGTATTTTATTTTTTGTTTTTAAAAACATATTTTTTGTTACACCTCGCAGCCAGTAACAAATTGCTGTCGCTCTTAAATACATTAATAGCCTCTAAACATGGCAAACAAAGATCTAAGTAGACTAAAAGTTCATTTTTAATTAGTTTTAATAAAGCTTTATTCCTGTCGTCCCGCCACTTTGCGTTCATAACAGAGAATACTCTTTCTGTAAATGCTGAAGTGGCCGGAACGGACAGCAAAAGTGACACTACTTTGAACAGATTGGGGAAATCAGGTTGTTCCGTAAATATGGCTTGCTATTTTTTCTGTGCAATATTATTGATGTTAAAGTAGTCTGAATTTCGAATAATCGCTTACAAAATTACGATATTTACTTACGGCCTTAAATAAAGTATTTTTGCGTACTTCATGTGTCTTGTAAAGTATAACGTACGCACAGTCGAAATAGAGTACAATAGTTTATAATAAAGTACGGGTGGCAACCCTAGTCCCAAGTGGCAGCAAGAAAGAAGATACGTCCATTCTCACAGAAATTTATATCGTCTCAACTATACGTATTTATGTATTACATATCAAACCTCTTCACAGGTGGCCTGAAATTCAAAATTCTAGGAAACTTTTGCCACATTTAACCAACACTCTATATAAATAGTATTTTGCGGAAACCACTAATTAGAAACATAGCGGATTATGGAAGCGCCACGTTTCAAATAATTTCGTTGTAGAAATTACCGAACGTGCTACACATGTAGCAACAATATTCTCAAGGTTAACTAATTTCCGGTTGTACCGGAAGTCATTATGCTTTCTTATTTTACAATAAATAGGAATAGGTATATTTTGTTATTTTTCTAGTCTTTACGGCATATTTAAAAATTTCATTGATTTTTTAATATCCAACTAAATAAATGCTCTTATTATATTTATTTCTATCTGAATGATCATAATTGGAGAAAAGCTTTATTAATTAGGTGGAACCTAACATATATTACAAAATTTGGCAAAACATATTAATTTTGTATTTAATCAATTTAGCTTGGGTATTAACTCAAGAACATTGAATTCTGAATATTGTACAAAGTCATTTACTAATTTCATTAAAGGACTTGAGGTCGTCCCTGGCTGTTATGCGAAATCGACATTTACGCCACTGATGCACTCCTAATCCCTGGTTAGCATTCGGGAGGACGCCGGTTCGATTCCGGGTCTGTCTGCCTTGGTACAAGTTTTTCTGTGGTTTCCTTGGATCACTTAGGCAAATGCTGGGGCAGTAATACTCTACAGATAATCTTTCATTCTCTTCTGCCTTCATTTCGTCCGTTTCATCTTTCTTACCCGAACCACCACCCACCCATTCCCATGATTGCTGAAAGGAGGCTGAAGAGGGCCTTTCGCCCGGCGTAGTCCGGAAAAACTGTTCGCCTACAAAGGTAAAAGCAGATAAGTGGACAGTCCTTGTACCTCATATCTACCACTCTATTATAAAGCCGCAAGTATCGCGGAAGACCCTTCTTCTCAAGAATTGAAGAAGTGTAGTGGTTGGGTAGAGATAGTTGAGAAGGACAAAAGGACCGAAGAGAAGTGGAAAAATGTCTATGGAATATTATGACAGCTACATTCGCCTAATAAATGAGGAAAAGGAAACAACAGAAAAGCTTGAATATAATCGAGACTCGAGACTTCCACACCAGGTATTAGGTACATTAATCTTTAACCTACTGAAAGCCCTGGGTACATAAGGATAACGGTAATATATGATTCGGAACAGTAACTCCTTCAGAATTCATAGGTTAGTGCTTAAAATTCTATGTTTATTGAAAAGTTTCGATAAAAGAAAAGTCGTCAATCAGTTATTCAATCCCTATGTCTTTGAGCACATCACGTTCTATGGATATTAGCGATATACTAGTCAATCTTTTTTGTAAGGTGAATGCAGCGCTCCCCAATGTTGTTACTTATTCATCATAAGGTCGTCAGTCCTAACACTGGTTGGACACGCACTTCCACTCTTTCCTATCCTGAGCCAATCTTCGCATTTCCCTAAAACTAGAACAACCCACATCCTTAACTATTTGCGAACAGTAATCTAATCTAGATCTACCTCTACCCCCCCTAACTCCCGTTTCTGCCTCTAATATTTCTCTGACTAGATCTTCATGCCTGAGAAGATGTCCTACTAACCTATCTCGCCTATTTCTTATTTACTTCCATAGAGTCCTCTGTTCACCTATTTTTTTCTAATACCTCTTCATTTCTAACCTTCTCTGTCCACAGTATCCTCATCATTCGTTACTTATTATTATGTTTTAATGACTCTCAGTACACTTTCTACATTTGGAAATTTGTTTTCAATTTTGTTTTGTAATTATTGGTTGATTTTCTTAAAATAAATATATTTATCGATAATAAATATTGGTTTTCGGTTGGTAAATGGATCTGGCCGAAACTAAGGAGATCGTCGATCGCGGGGCGCTGGGCCCAGAATGCCCAATGGAAAAGAGAGGCCTGCAGGTATGATCAACATCGACTGGTCGAAAGATCATAGTCGACTAGTCATCTCAGTTTTTTCCAATGGACAAAATGAAAAATACAAATTAGTTTAAATCATTTCCTAAACTTGGTCGATCTAAATTGTTATAATTTGTGAAAAAATAGGTTGCAGAAACTGGAGAGGTGACTGAAGACTAACAAATTAGATTTTATGATTTTAAAAAAATGAAAGATGTGCAATTTTCTTTTTCTCTCAGGAAGGATTTAAATTTGAAGCATGTTTACGA